TTTTGGTTTTTCGAGACAGGGTTTCTCTGTGTAGCCCTGGCTGTCCTGGAACTCACTCTGTAGACCAGGCTGGCCTCGAACTCAGAAATCCACCTGCCTCTGCCTCCCAAGTGCTGGGATTAAAGGCGTGCGCCACCACCGCCCGGCACTTTACCACAACTTTTAAAACTATGGGTGAAGGGCCGGAGAGATGGGTTAGTGGTTAAGAACACTGGCTGCGCTCTTCCGGGACGGTGCTTAGAGTGGAAGGTGCTCAAGATGGTCCAACGTTTGACATACCGTCGTAGGCTTTCCTACAACACAGCCTCTAACAAAACCAGGCTGTCTCGAACCCCTGGTAACAGGATTGTTTACCTTTACACCAAGAAGGTTGGGAAGGCACCCAAATCCGCATGTGGTGTGTGCCCAGGCAGACTGCGAGGGGTTCGTGCTGTGAGACCCAAAGTCCTTATGAGATTGTCTAAGACAAAGAAACATGTCAGCAGGGCCTACGGTGGCTCCATGTGTGCCAAGTGTGTCCGAGACAGGATCAAGCGGGCTTTCCTTATTGAGGAGCAGAAAATCGTTGTGAAAGTGTTGAAGGCACAAGCACAGAGTCAGAAAGCAAAATAAATCTGCATTTTTTTTAAGTAATAAAAATCAAGGCTTAGTCAAAAAAAAAACAAAACAAAAAAAAAAAACAAAAAAAAAAAAAAAAAAAAAAAAAAAAAAAAAAAAAAAAAAGAACACTGGCTGCTCTTGCACATGACTTAGGTTCAATTCCCATCACCCACGAAGCAGCTTACAACCCTCTGTAACTCCAGTTCCAAGGAATCTAGCACCCTCTTCTAGCCTCCTTGGGCAGTGGGCACCTGCACTCAGTGCACTTACACATATACTGGAAAAACACTCAGACACATAAAATAACAACAACCAAATCTTCATAAAAGACAAAACAAAAATAATATGGGCAAAGCTGTGCCAGTGGATTTGAAGTCTCCAAAGGCAATCTGGTGAGTATCAATACAGCATAGCAGTCTACACGTGGCAGTCCCCAGTAGACTCTGTCCTCATCCCAAATTAAGGCCAAGTGACCTTTATGGAGGATAAGATCAATGTCCTCGCTGTTTAGCCTTTCTCTCCTGGTTTATTTGCAAAGGCCCTGGCCAATGTCAACACTGGGAGCCTCATCTGTACCACAGGGGTCAGTCCTGCCCCTTCCACCTCAGAGGCCCCAGATATCTCCTCTATTCATGGGACAGAGAGCTGAGCAGAATAGGAGGAGGACTGAGGAACTACCAAAGCTACCCAGGGACTCTTACTTCTCAATGGCTGGACTATATGGTAATCTGGGTCCCCCATAAGTGGGTGGGCATAAAAGAGGGAGGTCTCTCTGACTTAGGAATGACAGAAATTGTGTTGCATTTCCCATATTCTACCTCTTTACTAAGAAGAACATAAGCTTGGGGGTAGGTGATGGATGAGGTGGTCCTCTGAATCTTGGGCTCCTTTCAGACTCTAGCCTTCAGAGATACGGTCTGCATGTTTTGGGGTTCTTCCTTTTTCCAGGGCGTTCAGCTCCTGACATGCATAGCCTCCGACTCATTGTGGTGTCAGTTCAGCTGCTTTGCTATCTCCTGCTGTGTCCTGTGGATGCCACTTCCCACAGAAAGCCAACAAGTGTCTCTACGATGCTCCCTCCCTCGGAGTTGAGATACCAGATGCCAACGACCTCAGACCCCTTGTCCTGCCAGATGCTGCTCCCAAAGTCCCTGCCTGGCTTCACTCACATGCCCCCCGTCTCCAAATTCCTGGTAGGCTTGGCTCTAAGAAATGCTCTGGAGGAAGCTGGCTGCCAGGCTGATGTCCGGGCTCTTCAGTTGCAGCTTTATCAGTTAGGAGGTGTGAAGGCTACACAAGCCCTCATCCACCATCTTCAAGAGCTCCAGAAAGGCGGACACGCAGACCGGAATGTGTCGGTGGATGCCCTGTTCTCTGCTCTACAGCACTTATCCTGGGAGCAGTCAGGTCCAAAGAGGGTCAGACGTTGGATTTCTAACAAGGACTGTGAAAATGAGCGGGAGCAGAGAGTGCACAACGTGGTTGACCTGCTGCCAGCAGTGGGTACCTACTACAACCTAGGTACAGCTTTGTATTATGCCATTAAGAACTGCTCTGATAAGGCCAAGGAACGAGGTCGAGATGGGGCCATAGACCTGGGTTATGATCTTTTGATGGCCATGGTGGGTGCGTCAGGGGGGCCAGCTGGTGTGGCGATCACTGCTGCTCTTAAGCCAGTGATGAAGGCTGGGGTTCAGAGACTCATCCGATCTTATTACAATGAGAAAGAGGTGACCACCCCTCAGCCAGAGGTGTACTATTACGATGAGAAAGAGGTGACCACCCCTCAGCCAGAGGTGTACTATTACAATGAGAAAGAGGTGACCACCCCTCAGCCAGAGGTGACCACCCCTCAGCCAGAGACCGGGAAGGATAGCACCACATATAGCAATGACGTGGAAGAATCCACCATGTCCAATTTGTTGTCAGAAGTTGACAGTACAACTTCTAACTGGGAGTGGCCTTTATTAAATAACTTTGTTGTCTTGGCATACAAGAGATAGTAACAGAACCACAAGTAAGTGGAAGTGGAAAATTTTGACAAGAAGAGAGTAGATGGATGGACGGGTGGGTGGTTTGGGGTACTGTCATCACTTGCCAGGAATTTCCTTCTTGAAACTCAAGTTTTTACACTCTAATGGGGCGAACTTTCACATGAACAAGTGATTATAGAAATTAAAAAGTGATATCATGAACCCACAGTATTAATCATTCATATCCTCAAAAAGAACTTATTACCTCAGCTCTTTCCTCCCTCTCCTAAAGCGTAAGGACACAGGTCCCACCCTTTCTATGGAGTCCTTTCTGCCTCCACTTGCACCCTGGTTTCAGTTTCCTTTCCCGGTGACACCCGGTTCGGGTAAATCAGCTGCTAGAATTCCTGGCTAAGAGTTTAGTTTGGTTCCGCCCCACTCGGGGACAGGGGCGGGTGCTACTGTAAGCCTCTCCCTCTCCGCCAATCACTGAAGTCGACGGTGTGACTACAAGCCGCTTGTCCAGCCCAGTGCTGGGCGGGGTTATGTCTCAGCCAATGAGAGCGCCACGAGGGAAGGGCGTGGCCAAGCTTCTCTGGTGTCCCCCCACGGAGGCCGGAACGCCGAGCGTCCACAGCCGGGTGACCCGTTCCACCGTTCGCGATCTGGGTCCTCCGGAGCCGGGGGAGGGTGAGAAACGGGTCCTTGAGCCGCTTGGAGGATTGGAAGTTGCAACGGGAGCGCTAGAAGGAGCGGCACTGGACGCTCAGAAGGTACAGGCCCCGAAAGGGTGTGAGGAGCGGGGCGGAGCGGCCAGCCCGTTCCCGGGAAGGGCTGCTGCCCCGGGTGATGCCCCTGTAGACAAGGCTTCTGCTCTCTGGCTGAAGTCGAACACCTGCAGGATTCTGCACCGCTGCACAACTCTACTCTCAACCCTGTCGACTTCCTGTCAAAACTCCTCCGCAACCCTTGCAGCAGCTGCTATGTCTACCCATTTGTTCCTTGTCAGAAGCCAAAGCTTTAACCTCTGCTCTGCGAATCTATTTACTTATCTCTTATTTGTTTGCTTCCTTATTATTATTATTTTTTAATTTGCATGCATGTTGTGTCTGGGTACTCCATGCGTGCCTGAATTAGCCAGAAGAGGGCGTCAGGTTTTTCTTGAACTGGAGTTAGATATGAGCAGCCATGTGGGGGCTGGGAATCGAACCCAGGTCCTCTGGAAGAGCAGCCAGTGCTCTTAAGCACGGAGCCATCTCTCCGGGCCCTTCGCATAATTTTTGATCCTTGCTCAAATGAATGAATGAATGAATAAATAAGATTCTTAGTTGTTATGTATGTGTGTGTATACTGTATACATATATGATACATATAAACTATAAAGTTCTAGAAGGGTGAAACCGTTTGCTTAAGGTTACACACAAAGTCTAGTTTATTTCAGCAAAGCTTATGTAGTGCAAAACTGATGTCTGAGAGTGAAGGATCTATACTCCTTTCCAGCAAGGAGAAAGTCTCCCGGGGTATCACCCAAACACTGCATAGCAGGATGCAATAAGACTAAGCACAAACCTTCAGATCAAGGATGGCCAAGGTAACCCCGGAGGACAAGAAGGGTCCCAAGAGCAGGCAAAGGAGTCAGAGACACCCCACTCCCACTTTAGGAGTCCCACAAAAAACCCCCAAGCTAAGCAACCACGATGTATTTGCAGAGGACCCATCTCAGAGTGTTGCAGGCTTTGCGATTGCTGCTTCAGTCTCCTGTGAGCCCCTGTGAACCCTGCCGCGTTGATTCTGTGAGCTGTGTTCTCGTAGTGTCGTCACCCCTTCTGCCTCCTACCATTCCTCCTCCCCCTCTTATGCAGGGTCCCCCCCAAAAAAAATAAAGCGATTGAATGATTCCTAATAATATTCGGCTATACCCATAGATCAGTGCCTAGAGGCTTCCTGTGGCAGCTGATGGGAGCAAGATGAAGAAGCATTTATTTATTTATTTATTTATTTATTTATTTAATGTATGCGAGCACACTGTAGCTGTCTTCAGACACACCATAAGGGCATCGGATCCCATTACAGATGGTTGTGAGCCACCATGTGGTTGCTGGGACTTGAACTCAGGACCTCTAGAAAAACAGTCAGTGCTCTTAACCACTGAGCCATCTCTCCATCCCCATGATGGTGGAGTTTTAATTCCAATTATAGATAAGAGACAGCAGCGAGAAGGGAAAAGTGGGAGAGCACACATGGCTCTGCCTGCTTTGTGACAGGGAAAACAGTTTTATATGAAACTTCTGGGTCTTCTCAAATTTAACAGTTCACCCAAAGACCAAGGATTTCACAGAAGTCATAAAAATGCTTTAGTCTTAAAGGTCGAATAGCTCTTTTTTGTTGTTGTTGTTGTTGTTTTGTTTTTATTTTTTGTTTTTTTCGAGACAGGGTTTCTCTGTGTAGCCCTGGCTGTCCTGGAACTCACTTTGTAGACCAGGCTGGCCTCAAACTCAGAAATCCGCCTGCCTCTGCCTCCCAAGTGCTGGGATTAAAGGTGTGCTTCTCCACCACCCGGAGGTCTTTACTGTTTATGCTTTAGCCCAGCATCAACAAATACAGACTCACAAAGTTCAATGGAAATTAACTGGATGAACTAGATACCATGAGTGGAAATATCACTTGTTAAGTTGGATAATATGTACATTCATAACCCCTATACTTTTTTTTTTCCTTTGAAGCAGGATCTTATATCTTCTTGGCTGACCTCAGATTCATTATGTAGCTAAGGCTACCCTCAGCGCTCCTGTTTCCAACAGGCCAAGTGTTGGTATTACAGGCATGTGCTACAAGACTTCTACTAATAATACTTTTTTGTATTTCAAAGTTACCACTAAAATAAAAAGGGCCACCTGTTGCAACTATTAAATAGTATTCCCTAGAAGAACTGCAGTAAATTATAACAACTACTTTTTGGAGAGAAAGGACAAACACCAAGATTGGGAGTAGGGGCAATGTAAGCTAATATTTTCTAATGTCTTTAAAAAATTATTTTAGCCGGGCGGTGGTGGCGCACGCCTTTAATACCAGCACTTGGGAGGCAGAGGCAGGAGAATTTCTGAGTTCGAGGCCAACTTGGTCTACTGAGTGAGCCAGGGCTACACAGAGAAACCCTGTCTTGAAAAACAAAAAACAAAAAAACCAAAAACAAAACAAAAAATTATTTTAGCTCTCTGCCCCTTCTCTGTCTTCTCTCCGGGACCCCTTTCTCCCTCTCTCCCCTCCTCCCTCTCTCCAAGTGTTCCTGGTAGGCTTCCCCCTCCCCTCTCTCCTCCCTTCTCAGCTCCACTTCCCATGCCCTAAATTAGTCTATACTAAAATTATTTTATACCTGGGCAGTAGTGGCACACACCTTTAATCCCAGCTCTCGGAAGGCAGAGGCAGGTGGTTCTCTGAATTTGAGGCCAGCCTGATCTATAGAGCTACTTCTAGGATAGCCAGGGCTACACAGAGAAACCCTGTTTCAAAAACAAAACAAGAAAAAGTTATTTTATGTATATGTCTTAGTTAAAGTGGAAGTTTCTGGATATGTCACGTGATACACACTCAACGTGTTTTTGGGTGAGTCTGCCTAACCTGATATATCCAGAAACTTCCATTTCACTTTATTAGGGTTTCTGTTGGTGTGAAGAGATGCCATGACCATGGCAACTCTAATAAGAAAAATATGTAATTGAGTTTGGCCTACAGTTTCAGAGATTTTGTCCATTATCATCATGGTGGGTAGCAGGGCAGTGTACAGGCAGACATGGTGTTGAAGAAGGAGAGTTCTACATTTTGATCCAAAGGTAGTGGGAGACTGTACCACATTGGCCATGGCCTGAGCATATAAGACCTCAAAGCCTGACCCCACAGTGACACACTTCCTCCAGCAATGCCACACCTACTCCAACAAGGCCACACCCTCTAATAGTGCCACTCCCTATGGGCTTATGGGGGCCAATTACATTCAAACTACCTCAGTGTATGCATTTTGCCTACCTGTATATAGGCGTACCACTTAAATGCCCAGCACTTAAGAGGCTAAGGCAGGATCACTTCGACTTCCTGTCCAGCTGGATTACTGAGACCCTGGATTTGTTTGTGTGTTTTATAAGCCAAACAATAAATAAATAAACCATGAGATTATGGATGATTTGGTTCAATAAAATGTCCAGTAGAGGGCTGGAGAGATGGCTCAGTGGTTAAGAGCACTGACTGCACTTCCAGAGGTCCTGAGTTCAAATCCCAGCAACCACATGGTAGCTCACAACCATCTGTAATAAGATCTGATGCCCTCTTCTGGTGTGTCTGAAGACAGCTACAGTGTATTCATAAATAATAAATAAATCTTAAAAAAAAATGTCCAGTAGAGAACGGATGTCTTTCCTATTCAGAGTCCACATGGCACAGTGGGAGATGTTACAGAACCTTGACAGCCCATTCCTGGACCAGTTGCACCAGCTCTACTCCCAGAGCATCCTGCCAATGGATGTTCGACAGCACTTGGCTGCCTGGATTGAAGACCAGAACTGGTGAGGGCTCAGGGGTTCAGATGGCTCCTTCTGAGCACACAGGGTCCTAGATATCCTGGGAGATATCAGAACAGCAGGTAGTTTACAGAGCCCTTGTCTCACCCCGTCCTCAGGAGGGAAGCCGCGCTAGGCAATGATCAGTCCAAGGCCAACATGCTATACTTCAACATCCTGGACCAGCTCAACCAGTGGGACCACCACAGCTCAGACTCTGATTACTTTTTATTGCAGCATAATTTGCGAAAATTCAACCGGGACATTCAGGTACCTGGAAGAGCTGGGAATAAAAGCGTTGGGACTAGCCTTTGAGAATAGGATAAAAGCTGGGATACAAAGTCTGGACTTGGAGTGTCCCTAGCAGAGTAAAGGACTGAATCTAGATTCAGGAACTGTGAAGGAGGAAAAATACTGGAGACACTGAAGTCAGGGTCTGGATTGGCAGGTCATTAAAGTAGTTAAATGGGACTGTGCTTCTGTTTTTCCTACTTAGACCTTTCCCAATGGCCCGACTCAGTTGGCTGAGATGATCTTTAACCTTCTTCTGGAAGAGAAAAGGATTCTAAATCAGGCCCAAAGAACTCAAGAGGTAAGGTCAGTGTGATACTGACATTTGAAAGCCCCTAGGACAGCAAGAGGAGGGCACTGGAGGACCAGGATCTCCCCCCT